TCTACCTGGCTTACGCTGCTAACCCTGCTGCCCTGGATACACCTGCCTCATTCCATTTCCCTTCCCTAAAGCCCCCTCGCAACTGCAGCAGGAGACACCGTCCATCCGTTATGTCCCCCATAAACATTGTGCCGTGTTGCCGTCTGGCTGTTGCGCACACGGGCTGCTCCACCGCAGAGGCAGCTGCATCTCAGTGACCGGTGAGCAGCGGTTCCTGTCTCTCTCACAGTGACCCCCACCACCCCGTACTCCACACACACCAGGGGCTGGAAAACACCCAGTGGGGTGGGGAGGCTCCTGGTCTCTGGGACGCAGGTGCTAGGAGAGACCAAGCCGGGATCTTGTGAGACCGAACCAGCCAGCCCCCTCCTCCGGCAGCTCCATGAGTCACACCAGGGAACCCGCTCCTCCAGCCGGCCCCAGCATCCTGGAACTTTGATTCTCAGATTGCAAAAGGTCCGGGAGTGGCAGGGGCACCCCTTGGCCTGGTGAGAAGGAAACCGAGTCCAGCAGCGTTTGGGCCTGTGCCCAGAGCAAACAGGGGGGTGGGGGAAGTCTGGCGCAGAGATTAGCACCAGGACACCTCGGCCAAGTGCAAACAGCTTGGTGTGGGGTGGGGTGGGGAGTGCTTGCCTGCCGCTTTGCGGCTGAAGCCCGTTGGCTGATGTATTTAATCTTCTGCCTCCCCAGAGTTGCTTGGGAATGCAACAGGATCAAGGCAGTGGGGAGGAGAAGTGGGGAGCTGGGATCCAGGCTGCCTGGGTTCTCGCCCTAGCTCCGGGAGGGCAGTGGGGTCTGGTGGTTAGAGCAGGAGGGGCTGGGAGCCAGGACTCCTGGGTTCTCTCCCTAGCTCCGGGAGGAGAGTGGGGTCTAGTGGTTAGAGCAGGAGGGGCTGGGAGCCAGGACGCCTGGGTTTTCTCCCTAGCTCCGGGAGGGGAGTGGGGTCTAGTGGTTAGAGCAGGAGGGGCTGGGAGCCAGGACGCCTGGGTTCTCTCCCCAGCTCCAGGAGGGGAGTGGGGTCTAGCGGTTAGAGTAGGAGGGGCTGGGAGCCAGGACTCCTGGGTTCACTCCCTAGGTGAGCAGGGTGAAGGCCCTTCCCTTGGCTGTGTCTGTTTGGCTAGCAGCCCAGTGGGGCTGGCTCTGGTATGCGGAGTGGCAGCTAGCTAGCCTGCCCAAGACAGCCTGGAAGTAGAGATCTTCGCAGGGCAGGGACAGGCAAACAAGGAAGAGTCTCTGCCTCGCCCCCTGGGGCCTCCCGCCGGCTGCTGGGCAGCATTCCTGGGGCCCTGCTGTATTTCCTCCACGGGCGATCGATGCCTTTGGCAGCAGTGCGGTTCCAGAGAAAACGGGCTGTAAGAGCTGGTGCCAAGGGGAGCTGCCAGAGCCGGGAGCCCCTGCCCAGCAGTTCGCAGCCCCATGAACCTGTCCCCTGCAAGGCCCCAGTGTGCGTTGGGTGTAAAGTGCTGTGTGGACAGAGGAAGGATGGGCCTGTGGCTGGGGCTCTAGCTTAGCACTTGGGAGACCGGCGGCAAGGGCCTGCTCTGCCGTGGCGTTCCTGAGTGATGCCATGACTCAGTTTCCACCTGTGTGTGATGCCCTGCCCCCCACGGGGGGGTGCGTGTGAGGATCAAGGCACTGCAGATTTGACTCCGCTACTAAGCTGATGGGGGATGGACAGAGAGATTTCCCCTCTAGTGGCTGCTCTGCATACAGGATAATAGCCCACTACTGCCGCTCGCTAACGGAGCTGCTGCTTTAGCGCAATCCGGAGAGGCTTGTGCTGTGGACATGAGGTTACAGCGCTCAACCCGCCCTGGAAATTATTAGGGTTATTATGTCACTAGGATGGTAGTACTGAAAGGCCGCAAACAAGATCAGGGCCCCCTCATGCCGGGCGCCGCCCAGACCCCAACCGAGATCAGGGCCCCCTCGCGCCGGGCGCCGCCCAGACCCCGGCCGAGATCAGGGCCCCGTCGTGCC